TCCTTGAGAGCTCCATGACTATGACTAAAACTACTGCTATGGAGGATCCTTCATGGAGGAAAGTTCCTCAAACTACAGATAAAAATGAAAAGGACAGTTGAGACAAGTTGTTTTTTTTTGTTGAAATGTGATTGTCTGCCTCTCTCTAGAAGGTTGCTTCAACTTTTGTTGCACAGAGTCATCCAATTGCTTTCTCTCTCCTCCTTCCAAAAAGTAGCTCCGCTTAGCTTCTACATAATTTAGTTGTCGTCATAGGAATTCTACAAACACCTCACTATGTTATCATGTTTCAACATGGATGGAACCATCCAACTAGTATGGTATCCATGATACGGGATGGTACCATCCAATAAGTATTTTGGATGGTATCCATGATATGGGATGATACCATCCAATTAGTACTTTGGATGGTGTCCACGATATGGGATGATATTATCCAATTAATACTTTGGATGGTGTCCATGATATGGGTTGTTACCATCCACCATAGGGTTGGATGGTTTCCTTGATATAGGATAGTATCATCCAATTAGTACTTTGGATGGTGTTCATGATACGATCTGATACCATCCATCGTAGGGTTGGATGATATCTATGACGTGGGATGGTGATAGAAACCCGCTAGGCAGGTAGGGGTGTCGGGTTCGGCCATGTTGGTCGGGTAGGAGTGGCAATTTTGTTATTTTCTATGTTAGTGCTGAAACTCATAAAAGGGGAGGGAGTATGTTCATTTGGGATTAAGCAAGAATAATATCAGAATCCCTAATTTTCACTATTCTATGTTCTTCCCCAATTCTCTCAAATCCCTAGTTCCTCTTTTCCCTATTCTCAATTCTCAACCCTACTCTTCTCTATCAATTGGTATCAGAGCCACAATGAGCTCTATACGGCTCTCGGATCTGGATTGGACCAGGGTGCAATGACGAATTGACGCCATCAGGGCTGACCAAGCCCGTGTCGCGCGCGAGCAGGGAGGAGGCGCGGCGGCTTTGGCGACGGCGGGGCGAACAGCGGCGACCAGCGGGCGGGGAGCGCCGGCGGAGGGCCGCGCGAGTGCTGGGCTGCCGCGCCGGGCGGTCGGGGGCGTGCTGGAGACGCCGCTGCCGGGGAGCGCGATGGGCGACTCGGTCTCCGTGGAGGACCAGCGGCAGAGCTCGCCGCAAGCGTCAGAGGGCGGGGCGGTGACCGCGCAATCGGCAGGGAAGGGGGCGACCCCCTCGCTATCGCTCCATTCTATGACCGGGCTGCCGACACCCAAAACTCTTCGATTCCGAGCTCAGGTTGCCGGTACCTCGGCTTTGACCTTGGTGGACAGTGGTGCCACCCTGAATTTTATTAGCGAGGAACTGGCCAAGCTTCTTCCACAGACGCCGAGCTTGGTGGAACCGATGGTGTTTCGGGTAGCTAATGGGGCACCTATGCAGTGCAAGACTGTCTATCGCGAGCTGCCATTCGAGATTCAAGGGCTGCCCATAACCGCAGATGTGTTTGTGCTGCCCATTCGCGGGTTTGACATGATTTTGGGTGTTCCATGGCTGCAGGGATTGGGACCAGTCACCACTGATTGTCGTAGCGTGACGATGCGGTTCAAATGGCAAGACAAGGAGTGGTGTTTACAGGGGCTGACCACGGCCCTGGGACTGGTTTCTTTCCTGGAGTGCATAACCGGGGAGGAGGCGGAGTTGGCGGTCATGTGCTGGCCGGTGGCATCGTCGGAGGACCAGGAGCTAGCCCCCGATCTTCAGTGTGCGTTTGGGGTTCAGAAGGTGGAGTACTTGGGCCACATTGTCACTCCACAGGGGGTCCAGGTGGATCAATCGAAGATTCAGGCTATGGTCGAGTGGCCAACTCCGACTACTGTCTCACAGCTGTGGGGTTTCTTGGGTTTGACCGGTTATTACCGGAAGTTTGTGCAGGGATACAGTATGATCGCCCGGCCTTTGAGTAATCTATTGAAGAAGGGCGGGTTTGCATGGACACCAGAAGCATACAGGGCATTTCAGCAGCTTAAGCAGGCTATGACGACCACCCCGACCCTAGTCACGCCGGATTTTTCCCGGACCTTTGTGATTGAGGCCGATGCCTCGGGCCGGGGTATTGGGGCGGTACTATCTCAGGATCGTCACCCGGTGGTTTATATGAGTACGACCGTGCTGCAGGAGTATCATGCCTCCCCATTCGGTGGGCACTCGGGGGTCGAGCGGACGCTGAGGAGGGTCCGGGCCTAGTTCTATTGGCCCCAGATGAGCCAGGACGTGAAGGACTATGTAGCATCGTGCGATACTTGTCAGAGGGTCAAGGCTTCTCACCTGAGACCCGCGGGACTCTTGCAGCCCTTGCCAGTACCCGAGCGGGTGTGGGAGGATATTAGCATGGACTTCATCGTCGGGCTCCCACCCTCCGGAGGAAAGACTGTCCTGTTCGTCGTCGTTGATCGAATGACGAAGTATGCCCATTTCATGGCCCTGGCGCACCCATATACGCCGCGGGCAGTTACGGAGCAGTTTGTATTGGGGGTCGTCCACCATCACGGGTTTCCGAAGTCCATTGTCAGTGACCGGGACTCCGTTTTCTTGAGCCGGTTCTGGCAGGAGGTGTTTACTATGGCACAGACTACTCTGCGGATGTGCTCCGCCTACCACCCACAGACAGATGGCCAGACTGAGGTGGTTAACCGCTACCTGGAGCAGTAGCTGCGCTGTTTTGCCCATCAGCAGCCGAGGCGGTGGTTGGCTCTGCTGCCTTGGGCCGAGCTATGGTATAACTCCACTTACAATAGGGCGATCCAGACTACACCATTTGAGGCCCTTTATGGGCGACCACCACCCTCTCTAGTCCGATACCAGAGTGGTACCAGCTAGGTGAATGCGGTGGATCGATGGTTGGAGACGCGAGACGAGGCCTTGGAGCAGCTCAAGGCTAACCTAGCATCCGCCAACAATAAGATGAAGCAGTTGGCTGATGCCGGGAGGCGCGAGGAGGAATTTGAGGTGGGAGACTGGGTTCTGCTCCGACTGCACCCGTACAGGCAGGCTTCCGTCTTTCGCCGTGCTTACTAGAAGTTAGTCGCCCGGTACTTTGGACCCTATGAAGTACTGAAGAAGATTAGCCCGGTAGCTTATCGAATGCAACTGCCAGCTGATGCTCGAATCCACCCCACTTTCCACGTCTCATTACTGAAGCGCTACAGGGGAGCAGCAGATCGGGTGGAGACCACCGCCCCTCCGGTGTCGGCTGATGGGGATCTTGAGCTCATTCCCTTGCAGGTCCTGGATACTGGATACCAGATCGGTGAAGAAAGGTGGACGCCTGACGGAGGAGAGTCTGGTTCTGTGGCAGCATATGGCGAGAGAAGATGCAACCTGGGAGGAGACGGCCGTGATACGACAGCGATTTCCGACGTTTGACCTTGAGAACAAGGTCAATTATGATGGGGAAGGGGATGATAGAAACCCGCTGGGCGGGTAGGGGGCTCGGGTTCGGCCATGTTGGTCGGGTAGGAGTGGCAATTTTGTTATTTTCTATGTTAGTGCTGAAACTCATAAAAGGGGAGGGAGTATGTTCATTTGGGATTAAGCAAGAATAATATCAGAATCCCTAATTTTCCCTATTCTCTGTTCTTCCCCAGTTCTCTCAAATCCCTAGTTCCTCTTTTCCCTATTCTTCTCAATTCTCAACCCTACTCTTCTCTATCAGATGGTCACCATCCACTAAGAGATTGAAAGGTGTCCACTATATGGATGGTACCATCCACTTTAGATTAGGATGATATCCATGATATTTGGGATGATACCATCCACAATAAGGTAGGGATGCTATTCATAATTTGGGATGGTCACCGTTCGCTAAAAGGTTGGGATGATATCCATAATTTGGGATGGTCACCGTCCACTAAGAGGTTGGATGGTGTCCACTATATGAATGGTACCATCCACCTAGAGTTGGATGTTATTCATAATGTGGGATGCTACCATCCACTTTCAAGGTGGATGGTTACCCTGAGACTGGATAATGGTGACCAAGTATTGGATGGTCACTCAAGTAGTACTTAAGGGGGGAAATATTTTGGTGTAAGATTCAAAATTAGTAGCAAGATCCTTAAAGGTATTGTAATCTTTTGTTCCTCGAAGCTGGAACTTGAAATATTATTCTGAAGTATTTACCGTTCTACATGCTTGGTAAACTATGTTAAAATCCTGTGTATAACATGTGAAAGGTGTCCATGATTTTTTACTTTGTTTTTGGCTATAAAATATTATTATGGGGTTTCCATTATTTACTTGGGCTGTTGTAATTAAACAGCTCGAGTACTGTCATAAGTGCCTTGCAGGATCGGTAAAGAGTAAAGAGAGAATGAAGTTAGGGTAAGTGATCACTGTGATAAATATCCATGCACGACCCTTGGATATATTGTTATAGTTCTGCTGTGATATGTATTGACTCGCAGGTTAACAGAAGGGTTGTTTATATTGTGTATGCTTGTAATTTTGCAACTTCTGCAGGAATAGTTTTTCATCCTGGAATCTCTTAAAAAGACAACATTTTAGAATATAAATATCACACAGGTTTGTTTTTAATATTAGGTGGTTCTAAAGGGATTCAAACATATTTTCAAGCTAAAAATTATGATAATATCACTAAACCAAATCCTTGTTCGGAAATCATAAAGCTGAAAATGTATAAACATGTGGTGGTAATGCTTACCCCATGCCATAATGTGGCTAAATTCACTGCTTTGACGACCGCAAATCTAATCCAAAGAATCCAAAACGAGAATACTTTACGTGTATTCTTCATAAAAAGGAATAGCAAATATGCAGAATTAAAATAACCAGAAAGGAAATGTAAACCAATCGGTATCCGGAGAGAATGTACACAACTAACTGTGCCATCAGTTTCAAACCACCACCATTGTCGAACCATGGAGCTGACAAAACCGAACCGACCCAATTCAAGGCTTCAATAGACAATGAATCACATTGAAACGGTTCAATATCAATCTACTGAAGCTTCTTAATCCCAGGAAATGACGGAAGAATTGCTATAAGTGGATCGCCATATCCAACAGCGTCTGTTTTACCACCAAAAAACGACACGTTAATTATTCATTTCATTACCAGAAAGCATATATATATTAAACCAGTCATGGAGAGACAATGATGAATCTTCTGAAACAAGTTACCTCCTTCCTTCCGCAGTATTCTGATTACCTCTCCTGAGACATCAGACTGAAAGGCGCAAACACTAAGGTTAAGCGAAATTCCCATGAATCTTACAAAAAGAAGCATAAATCAGTGGAGATACCTCGATTGGAACTTCACCCCCAAGCTGCTGAACATAGCAAAGCACTTGTCCCTCCTTCACAATTTGCTTCTGTAGGAAAGAAGAAAAACCATGTTAGGAGAATTACTATAACAGTCAAAGCTTGCTGGTACAATAAGACATAGATAAATGGTTTGAAACCGGCCTTAAGAGCGGGATACCTCTTTACATGCAGGAGGAGTGCGTTTTCCCTTTATTGTTCGAGATCTTTGGAAAATACCCACCTATAGAAAGAGATGTAATTTTAGTAAAATCAGATTAAACAAGCAGGATTTAATTGGCTTAAAGTGTGTATTCCCTTTATATTCTTCTGCTTTTTTCTCACCCTTGGGGATGGTAAAATCACTATGCCTTCGTCAGCAGCTCTATCCAGAAATGGCTTAATTCCTTCTGGAGATGGCAGGGCCTCTTTGGAGACAACTAATGCTTTGCTGGGAACAGATCCATTCGAACCACCTGCCTCAATAGTTGCACTGCCATTGACAGCAGCAGGTAAAGCCACAGTAGTTTGAGGAACAAGAGGTTCAGCCTTCTCGGTCAAGTCTCTGGTCACATGGAGCTGTAGCGCACCAAGCTAGCAATAGCGAATACAATGAACAACAAGAAGAAGCATCACAACTAAGTTGCTTGTCCTTCAGAGACATAGATGTACACATTTCATTGGTAAAAGGACTGATAGAAAACAGCTCAGAGTTGCATTCTTACTTTTAACTCGACCTCTGCAATAGAATTAGTGTCGCAAATTTCAGAGACCAGAGATTTAATCTGCAAAAAAGTCGAAAAGGCTTTCTATGTCATCTTTATTGATAATGGATTATGCACATTCAGGATGAAAGCAGAAAGGAAAGAGTTCCAAAGAAAGACGCTGGTGCTCCCGACTGTGGGATACAAACTAAGTGCAAATATAATATAAACCAACTTAAATGTACGGGTTCAATTTGAAAACTGATGAAGTTGTCAGAAAGATAAAAAGAAGAGAGTATTTGTTATGCACCTTGTCAGTAAAGAAATCGAAAAGGCTTTCTATGTCATCTTTATTGATAATGGATTATGCACATTCAGGATGAAAGCAGAAAGGAAAGAGTTCCAAAGAAAGACGCTGGTGCTCCTGACTGTGGGATACAAACTAAGTGCAAATATAATATAAACCAACTTAAATGTACGGGTTCAATTTGAAAACTGATGAAGTTGTCAGAAAGATAAAAAGAAGAGAGTATTTGTTATGCACCTTGTCAGTAAAGATGTGTGCCGATTAATTACGTAATACGTACATCAATTTTATTTCCCTTCTCCAATCTGAGACCTACATTGATGCATAAACCCTAAAAGAAACTGTGTCCTAGTGTGGAACAGGAAAACAAGATTCTACAATAACGACTGTTTGTCTTCTACCAGCTACTCAATAATTTAGAAGCTCTCCTTCCATTCCATCTACTATCTGTAACCACAAATCATATATTCCGTGAAAACATTCAACTGAGGTTTTCAATCAAGAAACCAAAGCTTGACAAATAAGGAAGCTTTTATTCATAAAAAGAAAGAAACAAACAAGGGCTATCTTCAATCCAGTTCTCCTCTTGCAATAGTGGTCTGTTACATGGGCCCAAAAATGGATCCTACTAATCTAGTAATCTACTAGAAAATATGTCAGGCTAGTCATTCATGTATTTCTTTCATTGAATTTTGTTGTGGAATTTGGGTAGCTGTTGCTTATGTTTTAATCTTTAGAAGTTAATTGCTCAAGTTCTTAGAAGACGGCAAATCAGGGCCAAATTTTGTAATAATTTCTACAGCAGTTCTGTTCATAGCGATCTTGGGTTTGCTCTACCTCGAATCCTCAGAACCTTTTCTGTCCAGAGCACGCTGAAGATGTTCAACCATCTACGACTCATCGTTAAAAGAATTTCAGACTATAACTCCAAGTAACAGCTGAATTCCCTAAATTTGTCTTGCATTAAAGAATCAGTAAAAGCAAGACATAACATCCTTGTTACTGATATATACCACAATCAAATTGACCATAGAAAATAGCCCCGGAAAACATATCCCTGCGTCCAGCTTAGATATTCATTTCGATCGATTTTAAGAGAGGGATCAGCTAGATAAAATGAACTCCCCAATTTAAATCTTTGTTCTCCCAATGCAGTTACCCAAACATGTATAAGAATCAAATCTTACATGCACTACAGAACAAGTAATCTATACAACGCTGTCATATTTTATAATTTGACCACATACGTGCTTCGGGAGTTTACTAGTGGCATCGACTACTCAATTGAATATATAGCATCAACACCCTACATTAAGACAGCCTACTCAAATGAGCAAGATAATTACCTCAGATAAATTGGGAATTTGGTAGCTTCTTTTAATTGTTGACTTCAATTCTTCAGAGCTATCTACTGCATTTGAACCAGCTATAATAACAGCATCACATTAGACATGTACTAATGTAGGAGTAACCAATTTTGATCACTTCGATAACATAGGGGAGACACAGATACATGATCGATAATACCCTTTAGAAATAAATTTGTCGGAATGGAGATAATCCAAACTGGTAAGATAAAAGGAACATACACTCTGTTCCAAGCGACAACTTGCTGCTTATTCTAAATGCCTTCTTTGGTTTAGATGACACTGGTAGAGGGGCATACTGTAAACGTCTCATTCTGACCCATTTATTCACGCAAGTTTTCTGGCTTAAGTTGCCATCCCTTTGTCCAACCACGTCAAACTTGAAGCCTTTGAAGTTACAAACACCTAAGCTACCTGTATGAACAACAAGCCATCAGCTCTCACAGGATAACTTCAAATAGGATACTACTTCCCGAGCACCTTCATTATCCGACAACAGATTAATGATGGATAACAAAGGAATTTAACTCAGACCACAATTTTGCAGCATGAAAAACATCATTATCTACACCAAGACTGTTCAGAAAAAGCCATGCTCCATGCATTTGGCAGAAATTGGAGGGAAAGAGGGGTTTCCTTTCGGCTGAACACATCACGACACACATTTTACTTTCTTCACATAACATGGTGAAACAAGAAAATACCATTTCACTATTCCCATCTAATACAAGCCTGGAACTGCAAGCAAACACAGGTAATTCTCCATAAGCGAAGTGCATAGAATTGTTACTGAAAGGCACAAGCTTTAAACGTTGGATGTTGGCAATCGGTGATCTCATCAGCAACGAAGCTACATTAGCCGAGAATCTATAGCCTAGACCCGAAACCAAAACGCACACATTTTTCTCTATTACAGGAACAAGGCAATGTAAAACCCACCCCAATCCGATCAAATTCAGGTACCAGAGCGAAAAAAAAAAAAAAGATTCCCCTTACCCATCGTTCTAAGCTGCCGCCGAGTTTATTCCGCCTCGTGAATCACGCCAATTAAGAAGCTAGAAATTCCAACCTTTGAAGCAGCTTTGCGGCAAGTCAAACCAGAGTCAGGCTCGAAAGTTCCGACGTCCGTCACTCTCGTCGCCGGACCGGAGGGCGTAGCTATCTCTGCCTCCGAACGACGTGTTGGCCACCAACTGCAGCCGTTAGCTTCGATAACTAGGCTTGCAATGAACTGGCAAACTGAATTGAGAACTGGCCACAATTCATAACCTGAGCTATGAAATTGGTTTCTTTCTGACGACTTCGGAAAATTTTAGGCGTATTTCTAATTACTCCCTAAAGTTCTTAATTTGTTCCACATGATCCTACATAAGAACGTTACGTTTTCTAGCACTCTCTCTCTGCGATTACATTATTCAAATCGAGTAAAAATGAAAACTATTCGTAATCGCGAGCTAAAATGATGCTTAATATGTGACATCTTAACTAACTACTAACTAACTATCAAACCCAAACCATGTAACAATGTGAGATGATAATACTGGAGAATGATGAGCTACAAAGTGAGTTATCCTGTTAAAACGACGACCAATAACTAAAAGGCCATAAGGAGTAGGGGATTATCATTCTTTGCATATGAGTTTATGGTATATTTGAGTTTACCTAGAGTTTTTATGCTTCGTCTATACTTAATTATGCTTTGACTTTTCTCTCTAGCTCTCTTCAAGTAGCCTACCACTTAGGACTTCATGAATTAGACTGGATTTCAGCGCCTTTGGCTAGTTAGGAGTAGATGAATGATCTAGATGTATGATAGTCACACCTCTCATGTGGTGGTGACTTCACGAGATATGACCACACCCAGAGCAGTGTCGGGGTATGATTGCACCCATAGTGGTGTGGGGTATGTATGACCACATCCGACGGGATGTTGGGGTATGTATGACTACATCCGACGGGATGTTGGGTATTTTTCCCGGGAGAGTTATTATCATGGGAGTAGCCAAGCGCCTATAAGTAAAACATGATAAGATGCATTTTTATAAGTCGAGGTGGTGGAGTCTTTTGCCTATTGGGATGTCGGATGGCTAAGGTCTGATCCTAGTGCTTTGCCTTGATTGCTAGATGTATGTTAGGGGTGTGCTTTGTTATGAACTCACGATGCAATAATTGTCTCACTCAGTTATGAGTTGACCCTCTTTTATCCTTTTCCTCTGCTCGTGCAATGTGTAAGCAGATCATCAGAATCAACAGTAGATAAGTCTATAGGTGGGAGATGAACAAGAGTTGAAGCCAAGATGAGTTATGGTCTTCAACTATTCTGTGCTTGGAGGACGAGCCGGGAGTTTGGCCAGTGATCCACACCTTTTTGTAAAAATGTTTTGAGAAGTTTTTCATGTGCATACTAGCTTCTGATGTAGTGTGAGATATCCACAATTGTGGAAAGTTGATGATATGTGCATATTTGTGTGGTTGTGTAAGGTTGTGACGATTATGACATGTATAAGTATGGTATGTAGTGGTGGAGTATGAAATTGTGACTATGGCTATGAAAAGCCAATGTATATTGTTGTGAGTATATATGTATGTCTATGAATGCAGAGATTCAGATAAATTATTTTGCAGCATTAGTTGCAAGAACTGTTAGCCCATTACACGAGTAATTTATGTCGAAATTTTAGTTGAGTCAATTTTAGGGATTAATGTAACACCCAAGTTAAATGCCGCTTCAATTCTATGAATAATATGATTAGGAAAAACGTACAGGGTAGGGTGTTACACCACACAACTAAAGTAGAACCAAGTGTAATTGCAGTCTAGCAATGTAGTTTAGTGGTTCAGATTCTAAATTTCAACATGGGTCCAAGGTCTACTAGTTACTTCCTGCAATTCTATTATCTAGCGATGTGATTCGAGTGAAGTGATTGAAAGAAAAGTAAACAGAAAGCAAGTAAACATTTTGGTTTCAAATATGAGAAAGGTCTCTGAGGTATGTGTGCCCCTAGTCTACAGTAATTCAGATTGTAATCCCCTAAGTTCATTTCAATTGATAGATATACCGTGGAAATTTCTTGACAAGTCTGGAATCTCGACTAAAGAATTTCATACCCTCTCAGTTTGAATACCCGGCGGGCGGCTAACCTCCACCGAAGTAAGCTAACCGAGGCACGCACTATCACACATAACTTCCTCTACTGGTTTTTAATTCCAATACGGAGCAGTGAATTGACTTCTTGACTAAAGTAGTCGATTCTACTTCCAAATAAGGTTGCTCTTTTAACCTATGGAGAGAATATCGTTCTATGTTAAAGCATGAATCGTAGGAATTTGATCAGGACTCATGCAATCATTCCTAGCATACACTACAAGGGTTCTTCATACCAGAAAGAGAGTTTACTCTACGGAGAGTAGAGAAAACATAAAGATTGAAGTGGAAAACATCTTGTGCAAGATGAAATTCTTCTCCAAGCGAAGAATCTGTACTTCGAGGTGAAAGATCGAGCTCCAATGACCTTAGATGACTCCAATCTCCTCCCAAAGTTGTTCTTAGTCACTTTCTCTCTTTAGGACTCTCTTTTGCTGTTTTGGAACTTAGAAAACCGATTCACTAGCCAAAAACCCGAGTTCCAGCTTAGTAGGCTCGATGGAAGAATCTACGATCATGTTCCACAGTCATGGAATTGAGTTCCAGACCGTGGAACTTTATAACGGTGGGCGACACTTAATTGACTGCGGAAAAATTCCATGGTCAATCACCCTTAATACACGATCGTGGAATTGAGACACCGGACTGGGGATTATTCTTGCCCAAAAAGCATGGCCAGAACCCCTGATTCGCAGTTGCGAGTTTGACTCCCCAGACCGTGGATTTTGCCTTGACGTCCTCCAAGTCCCGTCTGCTCTCCAGTTGCACTGAAACCTGCTCCCAATCATTCATTCACATACTAGGACATGAAATATCACAAGCAAGCAGTAGCTAGCATAAAATGGGCCACAAAGTAATCAAATGTCAAGTCAAAGGATCAAGAAATGCAAAAAAAAAAAAAAAAAAAATCATGTGCAAATATGGTGTTATCAACAATCTAGTTCTTCTCTTCCTCAAGAGCTCCATTAAGAGGTTAGAGAACCTTGCATTGTCCGACAAAGGGAGAAGGGAGAACCTTGCATTGTCCATCAAGAGGTCAAAACCAGAACGGAGTTAGACATGGAGCGCTTCAAATTAGGGCCCGAGTATGTTGATACTAATGCTCCTAACATTTCTCCGGGTTGCTTCTACATACGCTCTGAATATGGCTGCAGTAGCTGCCACCGCTCTACATAATCCGCTTATCGTCCTTGCCATTGTTGCTTCCTATTGTAGTTAACCACTTAACTCCAAGGAATTAGATACAAGCTTTGAGGAGATGAAATATGTGTAACCGGTCGCTGAGATGCCATGAGATCGACGAGAGGCTGGCTAGCTATAAATACTAGCTAGCTAGATGCATGGTCGACGAAGGAGTTAGAAGGAATTACAAACAAATACTTTGCTAAGTTGCAATTTCAGAGTTAGAAGGAATTACAAATAAATAAATTATTCTAATTTATGATGATCAAAATTAGGCTTTGGACGAACAAGGTTAATAGTCTATGTAACATTTTGTTACTATTCATGTTTGTTCAACACAAGTAGCTCTTTACGTAACATGAGGTTAATACTCATTACGTAAAGGGACCTTCCATTACGTAAGACTTCCGTAACGACCTTTTACAACTGTTACGTAAAATACACATCCATTACGTAAAGGTTACGGAATGATAGTTATTTCTTACGTAACAGTTAAAATGAAAGCATTACGTAAGGCTTCCGTAATGACTTAACTCTTTACGTAACACGACACCAATACTCATTACGTAAAGGGACCTTCCATTACGTAAGGGTTACATACGACAGTTATTTCTTACGTAATAGTTTAATCAGCAGCGTTACGTAAGACTTACGTAAAGTGTAAAGTCATTACGGAAGTCTTACGTAATGGTGTTTTACAACTGTTACGTAAGGTTACCATACGTTACGTAACTATTACGTAATACCTATTATATTTTATGTAATGCAACCTGTGAAACCTGCTATAGCAGGTAAAAAAATTCAAATTACCTTACTTCAAGTTACCATAGGAGATCCCTAAGAAAAAATTATAGTCCGCTTCTAGAAGTAACTCCATCTATGCTAATTAATATTAATCATGCCTTGCGGACTTTGATGAGCTGCAAGTCACCAGGCTATAACCATTCCATGGAACCTAATGCATAAAGAGATGAGTAATCAACAAGTTGCAACTTTAGGACTCTATAAGTTCTACTTTGAAAATCGACTGAAAATCGAAATATCCCCACTTAAAATGGCCATGATATGATTTTGGTTTTTGAGGCTTTGTCATTTTTACGTTTAAAAATAACTGTTAAGTTTCAAAACAATTCGACAAAAAAAAAAATCAGTAACATTGTTATAGGTTCGGTTTAAGTTTAAACCGAAAATCCAAATCGAATAAACATAATGTTTCAAAACCAAATTAAACTGTCGTATACTTAATTTTTATTATTGCATATAATGTTAGTCTCTTTAATGGAGATAATTATTTTTACATAATTAACTTGTTTTTATGTATATGCTAGAGAAATCATTTTTATCTAAACCAATACTATATAGAAGTTCTACTTCAGAGCCCCTCCGATTGTAAAGTTCATGACTCCTGCGCAGTTGGCGGAGGGCCATTAAGGTAAAAACAGTATTTTAAGTGCTAGAAGAGTTTTATTTTGTACTGGCATTGAAAGCAGAAAAGGAGAGTTTAATTAATGCTGGCAGCTTCTTAATTATTTTCATCCATTTTAGGCTTACCTCCTCCAAAATATATAAATAAATTTTTTATTGTCCCAGATTAAATATCTAAAGACACCCAATTCACGCGTTTTTATGTTCATTCACGCTATTTTGTGTTTATGCACGCAAGAGTGTAAGTCATTCACCTAAATGAAAATTTATACCTTTTTCCTCCAATAATTTGTAGTGGCTATATATGTGTTGCATTGATAATAATCTACACAATGACGCCCATTTTGATATATTCAAAGGTTAAAATTTTATTTTACAACGACATTAATAAATGACAATATACGTGAATAAACACCAGATTGCCTGACTAAACAGTATGATTGTGTGAGTAATCAACACTCTTACGTTAATAACGCCAATATGAATAAGTTCAAGTTTACGTGAATAAATGAAAACATGAATGAATTAGGTGTTCTGTTTGTCTCTAGAGGTGCCAAGAGACCAGATCATAAAGTACATTGCTGACAGTTGATGAACATATATGAGCAGCCTGAAATATTAATTTCTATTTAATTAACATCAATTTAATTAACAATAATTATGGTTTCTTATATGGTGTAGTATTGCATTTTATTTCCCTAATACATATACATTATAGATATAGTTAATGGGGTTAAACACCTGTTAATTATATGAAAATGAAATTTCTCCGTGATAATTGTGTGCCACTGTAATTAGCTCTCTGTTAAATAAAATTTTTATTTATATTTTGCTCTCACTCTATTTTTTCATTAGATTTTCAATTCTATACATAATTGTTCTTTATTAGAGTTTCGTCAATGGTTTATATAATGTTAGTTTTATAGGTGATCGATTACATTAGCATCGTAGTACGTACCATTATTACAACAATAAGGCAAACAAATGAAGGGAGAACAGAAATAAATAAAGAAAGAAAGATCACTCCTCACTCACTGAAGGTTTAGACTAAATGATTTTTGAAGGCTACTCTTATTTAGTTCTATTCTTCGAAGAAATACTTCATGTGAGAGTCTTCCAAACAACCAAATAATACTTCAATTTATTTGTTAAAAATTGGAAGAAGATTTCTATTAGCATAAGTATATACATCTTACAATTTAATGTGTTCATGCGATGCATTGCTCAAGAGAAAAGAGAGCTATTTTTATACCACCACAAGGTGTGGTCAGTGGTAAGGCACATAAGTTAGAGTAAAGAGAATTGATCAAGCATTGACCAAATTAGCAAGAAGGAAACATGCTCTTTATACAAGGCAAAAGCGTATATATGAAAAAATTGTCAACATTCTTACTGGTATTTCATTATTTTAATGTTTGTTTTTTATTTATATGTTACTAAATTATGTGTTAGATGTTATGATTGCTTATTTTAATGATTCCTATACATGACTTAAAATGAGATTAATAACTTACAAACTAAGAGAAATAGATTGTTGAAGTCCATCAAACTTGCCGAAAATCGTTATAATCGTCTTCGGTTAATGCGATCTAGAGACTTTCCGGGTTTATGAATATTTTAATTAGTTCATTTTCCTTCATTTATTATATTATTGAAATTTTATCAAATGTATCTCTTAAATTGGAGTTTTAATTTTATTGCAGTTGTTGAAGTGTTTGATATTGGAACCCTATCATATAAATGTGAATATAGTGGAGCGATGACATGCAAGGAAGAAAGTACCAAAACCAGAAGCAATTCCAATGAACCAAAGTTTTCATTTTGTAAACAAGGCAAATTGAATCTCCCTCCTCAAAGGTAGCCTCCAGAGGTTTTGAATATGTTATTGCAAGCAAACACTTCAATAGGACGTTACTTTTGTTCGCTAACTATTATTTTATAATTTTAATTATTATGATAATTTTTCATTGCAGATGTAAATTCCATTGAATTTTAAAACATGGTCTACTCTTGCTCATTTATTAGTTTTCCTTGCTGCAGTAGATATATTATATAGTCCTTCAGAAATAGATTCACTTATATATGCGGAAGTTCCAGATCCTAAAATAGTATCCTGGATGTTATGAATTAGTTGCAAAATTTATGTTTCATCGTCCATGTGATATTCAAGGACCTAAAATAATATCTCTGAAACTCTTTAGATTTTTTTTCCAGAAGTGGACAGGGTACTAACACTTTTAAGTGTTAGCACTTAGTACCATATTAACACATTTATTAAGGATATTAAAGTATTTATGCCTTTACCTTTCTCCTTTTCCTTCCCTTCTCCCCTTTCATTTATGTTGCTTATTTATTTCATTTAAAAATTATAATTTTGATACATGAACTTAATAGATATTAATATTTAGTGTCTAATTTATTTTCACATTCGAGTGGAGCATCATCATCTGCACTTCTTTATTCTCACCATAGGCGGCATGTAAGGAATTCCTTTGGTGGCAAGTGTCATTTGCTATTTCTCCAATTGTCAATAAAGCTAGCTACGTGACTCATATGTTGTGAAATCAATGTTATATGTCAAATGTTGACACATGCAACTTATATAGACAACAATTATTTTTCAAAATTAACTCATTTTATACTTATTCAAACTCGTCACCGGTATTGTACCGGAGAATTCTCATTGTTTAGCCAAATTGGGTACGGACCATAGTGAGAAATTTTGTAGCTACAACATACAGGTCAAATTTCAAGTGGAGAAAGTAGACCCAAGTGTAACGAGTCGCATGATCCACAAATAAAGCAAAATACTTAACCCCGTGCCGAGAAGTAACCGGGGCCGGACCCCAAAATCCGTATGAACAACATGAAAAGGATCAGAGATAATGGTCGTGCTAGATAGGAAAGATATGCTTTTGGCATTCGCCTCAACACAACTCAAACACATATGAGAAAAAGGAATCCGAACTGATTTATTATCAAGCAATGTTTGTTGAAACATAAACTGCAAACGTTGAGAATTCAAGTGGCCTAACCGAGAGTACCACAGATTCCACTGACAATCTGATTGACTCGAAGAACGCCTACTCCCTTTTCTGATTAGCCTCCCCGTCGTCAGATCCTGTACAAAGCACCCAGACGGTGCGAATAAAACATAATAATTATCATCAGTAAGTTGCCCAACGAAAAAAAGATTAGGATAGAGTTGTGGGACATGAAGAACATTAGGCAATTGCAGATGCTGCTGATCAAGAAAACCAACGCATGCAACCGGAAGATGCACGCCATTGGCGACTTGCAATCTTAAATCATTAACCGGACGAATATGCTAAAGCTTCTTAGACTCACTAGTCATGTGATTAAAGCACGCGGAGTCAAGGAGCCACGGTTTACCTGAAACCTGAAGAGAGGCAAATGCTGAATTAATGGCGGTGGGAAAGGATTTTTGAAGAGCAGCTTGAATTAACCTCTCCACTGTGTGAGAGGAAACCGAATGGCCAGCAGAGTTCGAAGCTTGGGTGCGAAGGACACGCAATCAGGATGAGCAGGAGGTGGCCCTGACGTAGTTCCAGCAGCTGTCTGATATTTCAAAGTACGACAATCACTGATAATATGCCACGTTCGCTTACAGTAGACACAAAAATTGCGCTTACAACAATGCTTTTGAACGTGGCCCTTCTCCTCACAAAACAGGCAAGTCAATTCAGAGGTAGGACGCCGTTGTTGTTGAAATTGGGGTCGATGTGCAACATAGGCAGGATTGTCAGCAGCAGATGCGCCTCGTCAACGAAAACAGCTTCATTGACGCCCGGGCGAATATCCAACTTCTCTTGAGTCCGAAGTCGAGTCTCTTCTTGAATGAGACGCCCCAAAACGCCATCAAGTTGCAAATTTTCCCGGTTGAGGAATGAGGCCCGAACGAACTCAAATTCGGGCTTGAGCTTCATGAGAAACCGGAGTAGACGAGAGAGTGGCGCTCAGCTTGGCATTGGCCAAGAACAAAGCGGGACGAAGAGAGGCGAGCAATATGTCTTGCTCGGTCCAGAGGAGAACAACCTCATTGTAAAACGATGCAACATCCAGATCAACTTGCTTCAAGATAGCGAGCTCGTTCTCCAATTCAAACTAGCGGGCAGAACCGGTGATAGTGTATGTGGACGCAAGATGAGCCCACATCTCGACAGCAGTGGTAAATAGGCGAAGTCCTAGAACGATAGAGGGATCGACTGAATTCAGGATCCATGTCTTTACTCGAGCGTTGTTCATGACCCAACGATTGATATCTTGTTGAGCAGCAGGCGGCATAACCGGTTTTTTGGCAGTACCATCAAGGATCGAGAGAAGACCCTTGCCTTCGACGAAAACACGGAATTGAAATTCCCAGACGGCGTAGTTCTTCGGATTGAGATGAATCGCCGGACGATGGCTCTGATACCATGTTAGATATTCTGAACGGAATTTAGAGAATAACTGAGACACGGATTTATGTGGTATCCCTGAGTGATCAGGACTAGTCCACGGGAGAGCCTCAAGACTCTCCGAGCTGCTGTTATTATTGCTTAAACATCTGGGAATGGTAAACAGGATATATATATGGAGAAAACCATAATAAAGGGTTCAGCCGAGCTAACAGAATAGAAAGAAAGGGACGTGTGTGAATGAGCATGGGTTGTACAAGATTGATGGGCCAATGGGCCAAATATAAATGGGTAATAGTTCGGCTAACGGTTTAGCATCTACACAATTACTCCACCAAAACTCAAAAGGCCAGCAGTTTATTCATTCACTATGATTATCCATACTCGATAACCAACTGCCTCTAATCCTTCCTCTCTACACAAAGTACGTACAACATGCTGACTGCCGTTAAAAATGAACAAGGTGGCAACTTGGCATGAAGTAATTTTTGTTTTGATTGAGGGACAACTTGGTAGTGATTTCTTTTTTGTTAGAATGACAACTTGGATTCTTGGAAGTAACCTTTTTTTTTTTTAAAGAATGACAACTTGTTAGTTATGAAACAGGAGACAAAAAAGCTTCCGTGGACTGAATCGTTATATCTAGGCATAGGGCTGGTAAACGTATCGACCCGGTTTGGTCAATCAAACCGGTAATAGCATAGCTTATAAACTACAAGAATAACCTTTAATACAAGTAATTTTGATTAAAACCAAAACCGAACCAATTCTTTTTTCCGCGCGGGTATGTGTTGAGTAGTCTTTCCCCCTTGGTTTTGGGATTTTAATCTGACAAACCCAAATCGTTAAATACTAACCGGTTTATAAACTACTAGCTTTGACCCCTGCCCTTCGGGCAGGTAGCTTCTTCGTTATTGTGTATATGTATAATATAGTTATTAAATTAACAAATTTTCTAGAATCACGTAGATAGATTTTGTAAAAAATACCAAATAGTCATTAAAAGTTTTACTCCCTCCTGGTAAATTACAACGCAAAATTCACCTCCTAGAGACATTCAAGAAAGAAAGGAAAAACATACATCTCTATTTTCGTAAACAGTGGAAGGTACATTCATCTTAATGATGGTTCAAAGAAAAATCTTGTGGACATGTCATGTCGTCTTGCTATTAAACTCTGGTCAATCTATAAAATTGCGTACGATGTCTAATCCTACCATCTAGAGTTAGGGTTATTTAACGCACGTCAGCTAGTGAGTGAAAATCCAATTGATGTAGTGGATTAGAAATCTCGAGAGAAGTTACATTGAGTCTCTATACGAAAATAACGCTATAGAACAATTTTCGAATGATGAGAATGAGCGAGATGATGTTCATTAGAGAAAATCTTGAGGGAATGGAAATGTTCTATGGTTGATGTGGATTGGCCACTCGTAATCTATGGAAAAAACTCAAAATTATTTATAAAGAAATATTACGTGTAGGTACTCGGAAAACAAATATTTATTAGAATAACATAGAAAATTATTTATTATTTGAATGAGTAAATAATTATAATTATTGTTAACTAATTATCATAAACAATAATAATGAATTATCCAATAATTTATCTCTCATCAGTTATCTCTCACGAACCAAAAGAAAAAAGAAAGAAACATGTGGAGGAAGAATTCTGAAAAGGAAAGAAGACTGTGCAAATAGTAGGCAGTAGGCACTTTGGTTAGAAAAGCAAACGGAGAAGAGTAAAGAAATTTAAAAAATGAACAAAACAGATTAGAAGAAACCGCTCCACTGGGAAGAAGAAAACATAAAAAATTACAGTATGATTAATCGAAACTAAAAGTGTAGTGTCATGAATCAACATTCGCCACGAAATTGTTATGCTAAATTAATTGGATCCTCCTCCCCTGCAGCACTGCTTGTTACTTTAATGTGGCAATTGCATTAGGCGAAGTCAAAGTAGTTGTAATTGGTAGGCAAGGAATAAGGGATTGAAAAGGAAAAAAGACAGCAGTCATTGAAAGGGGCAAATAAATTGGAACTTTAATCTATGTAGATGTGGAATTACCTGTGGGAATCCAGATCACTTGTTGGAAATAAGAATGTAGACGACGTTGCTGGTATGTTGAGCGCAGTCGGCGGCGGGAACTTTGTGGGTTGGCCGTGCGGTGCACAAAATAATGAGGTCAAAGAACGGAAGCAGAAAAGGGAGAGAACGGTCGGCGGATGGGGAATCCTGGGTCTGCAGAACAAATGACTGAATATTTTGAGGGCGATCGCGGCAGGGTTAAAAGGAAATTGGGAGGCCGGCATCGGCGCGGAATAGGGATTTTTACCGTACACGGAGATGAAATTGAGAAAGAATTAGTGGTCTGGGCAGGACGGGAGTTTGTGGGCGATAAGGAAAAAAAAATAATACTTTACCAAAAAACTAAAGGGCCCAGTAAGGGGAAAAAGAGAGCGGGTGACGTGGAAGGTTGTGCGTCAAATGCAGGGTACGTGGCATGGGGGCAAATATCAAACTGCTTTAATGGTTTTAGAGATAAGAATAACGTTTAATAGTTTATATTTATCCAAACTGAATTCGTTAGGTGAGGTGACGAGTGAGGTTTGGTTTACCGTTTCCGGAAGTTGTGGATCTATATATGGCTTTCCCTTAATTCCCACTCAACCTCTGCGTCCTCTCCAACTCCTTGAGAGAAACGGCACCGCCAAGTCAATGCAAGCAAGCTGCATCTCTTCTCTCTCAGTTCAGCTTCAGCATGAGAACTCAACTTCCACCACCATTCACCCTAGCGCGCTCTATATATATATAAACATGCATTCTACTCTCCCATCATCCATATTACAACAATACACACACACAAAAAAATATTCATCACAAATCCATAATTCACAAACTTACGTACCCAACGATGGCTTCCACCAACACATGTCACGGCCTTCTCCAGTTCATTGTAGCAGCAACCTCTTCCATCATGTTAATGTCTTCACTCTGCCACCACTCCCATGCTCAGAACTCGGCGCAGGACTACGTGAACGCCCACAATGCTGCTCGAGCCCAGGTTTGTGTCTACAGTATATATATATACATGATCGTATCAGTATAGTATGACTCGTAGTAGTAATAACACGTTTCTTTAAAATTCTATTTGTAAGGTCGGGGTGGCCAACATCACGTGGGACGCGACGGTGGCTGCATACGCCCAAAACTACGCCAACGCCAGGATATCAGACTGCAGCTTGGTCAAATCGGGAGGTGCCTACGGGGAGAACCTAGCGAAAGGAAGCAGCTCCGTCTTCACCGGGACCGCCGCCGTGAACCTCTGGGCGGCGGAGAAACCCTACTACGACTACGCGTCGAACGCGTGCGTGGGAGGGCAGCAGTGTTTGGATTACACTCAGGTGGTGTGGGCGAGCTCGGTGAAGTTAGGGTGCGCCAGGGTTCAGTGCAACAACGGCTGGTGGTTCGTCACTTGCAACTACGATCCCAAGGGCAACGTCCCTGCCCAGCGCCCTTACTGAAGGAATGCCTCATAATAGTGTTACATATGTTTAATCATCCCCACCCAACCCATAAGCTATAATATATATATATATATGTAGGGCACGTGCAACCCAAATAATAATAATACTAATAATGCATGTTATAAACGCGCTGCTACGGATCGGGAAATAGCCGGAGTCGACAAAGCAAAAATACGAAAGCGAGAATCGAAAACACAGACACACGATTTACGTGGTTCACTAACACGATGTGTGTTAGCTACGTCCACGGGCGAGAGAGAGCCAGTTTCACTATATCGAGGAGATTACAGATTACAGAGGAGTATGAGAAGTATTTATAGTACTTCTCCATGTGGGTCTAAACCTAATCCAATCTGGCAAAGGAAACGGTTACAGACCAGGCCCAGAACCCGAACCCAAATAACAGCAAGACCCCCGATTACCAGTCGTAGAGGCTGATAATCCGATTCAAGTCATATCAACAAATCTCCACCTTGACTTGAATCCTCTTCCTCTGAAATCTCTGATGTACTTTGCTCCTTCTATCTCTCTCCCGCCATCAATGCCCCGCAGGGCGGAGTCACCCACTCAAGACATTCAGCAAGTCCAAGCAGTGTTGGAACTTGTCATGTGGAACCGGCTTCGTGAACATATCAGCAGGATTATCCGCCGTGCCAACCTTCTTCACCTTAATCCTCTTCTCTGTCCTCAAGAAATGATACCTCACATCGATGTGCTTAGTCCTCTCATGGTGGACTTGATCCTTGGCCAAGCATATTGCACTCAAACTATCGCAATACACCACTGCCTGATCATGATGTAGACCCAGATCACCAACCAGTCCCTTCAACCATATTCCCTCCTTAGCAGCTTCTGTCAACGCCATATACTCTGCCTCAGTAGTAGACAATGTCACCGCCGACTGCAAAGTTGCCTTCCAGCTCACTATAGAACTCCCAAGAGTGAATACATAACCAGTCATCGATCTCCTCGTGTCAACATCTCCAGCATAGTCCGAGTCAGAATACCCAGCCACCAAGCACTCTGTATCACTTCCGAAGCTAATCCCCACATCAGGTGTACCCTTAAGGTACCGGAAGATCCTCTTCACAGCCTGCCAATGCTCCTTCCCAGGTTGTATCATAAACCTGCTGACAACACTAACAGCATGTGCAAGATCAGGTCTAGTGCATACCATAGCGTACATCAAGCTACCTACTGCACTAGCATATGGGACTCTCGACATGTACTCCTTCTCAGCCTCCGACTGTGGTGCATAAGTTGAGGATAGATGAACATTTGAAGCACTAGGAGTATTTAAGGGCTTTGCTGAAGACATGCCAAACCTCGACAGTATCTTCTGGATGTAGCTCTTCTGTGACAAGAAAAGCTTCTTCTTCGACCTGTCCCTGTAAATCTCCATACCCAAAATCTTCTGAGCAGCTCCCAAATCCTTCATCTCAAACTCAGCACTAAGAAGCCCCTTTAACTTCTAGATATCAGACTTCGACCTCGCAGCTATGAGCATATCATCCACATACAGAACAAGATAGATCATCGAACCATCCTCCACCTTGTTGTGATACACACAACAATCATATGGACTTCTGCTATAGCCCAGCTCAAGCATGTAACTGTCAAATCTCTTGTACCACTGCCTCGGAGATGGCTTAAGTCCATACAAGGACTTCTTCAGCTTACAAACATAGTCTTCTTTTCCAGGAACCTCGAATCCTTCTGGCTGAGTCATGTAAATTTCTTCCTCCAACTCTCCATGTAGGAAAGCTGTCTTCACGTCTAGCTGCTCGAGCTCCAAGTCATAATGTGCCACTATTGCTAGTAGCACTCTGATCAAAGTATGTCTGACCACTGGTGAGAAAATCTCATTGTAGTCAACTCCTTCCCTCCGCGAGAAGCCTCGTGCAACCACCCGAGCTTTAAATTTCATGCCCTCTTTAGAAGTGATTCCTTCCTTCTTCTTGTAGATCCACTTGTTTGTAACAATCTTCCTTCCCTGTGGTCGTTTGACTAGCTCCCAAGTCTGATTCCTATCATGGGATTCCATCTCATCTCCCATTGCGGCAAGCCACTGATCAGCTTCACCGCCCGAAACTGCTTCTCTGTAGGACTGTGGCTCTCCTGCATCCACTTCTTCAGCAACCTGAAATGAATGCGCCACCATGTCCTCGAAGCCATACCTCTGTGGAGGTACTCCTGCAGTCGCTCTCTTCGGTCTACCGGAAGCAATAGACTGTTGAGCTCGTGCACTGGACTCTGAAGTTTCTGGCTCTGCAGAGACATCCTCATCATGTTGATCTTCTCCACCTTGGTGCTCAAACTCACTCTCTGTGAGAGTTTGCAGCTCCACCTGCTTATCAACATTCCTGCTACCTTCAACAACAGTGACCTTCAACATGGGGTTAAACATAGACTTCTCATCAAATACCACATTTCTACTGAGTATAACTCGATGCTCAGAAGGTGACCAGACTCGAAATCCCTTAACTCCATCTCCATAACCCACAAATACACCCTTCTTTGCCCTTGGGTTCAGTTTACCCTCATCCACATGATAATAAACAGGACACCCAAAAACTTTCAGTGAAGAGTAATCAGCAGGCTTACCATACCACACCTCATAAGGAGTCTTCAACTCAATACCTGTGTGGGGTCCACGGTTGATCAGGAAGCACGCCATGTTCACTGCTTCTGCCCAGAATCTTCTCTCTAGTCCAGCATTAGAGAGCATGCACCGTGCTCTCTCCAACAATGTCTGGTTCATCCTTTCTGCAACGCCATTCTGCTGGGGTGTATCTCTCACAGTCCGATGACGGGCAATCCCTTCATCCTTACAGAATTCGTTGAACTCAGAACTACAGAACTCTAGACCATTGTCCGTTCGCAGCTTCTTGATCTTCTTCCCGGTCTGATTCTCCACCAATGTCTTCCACTGCTTGAACTTCGTGAAAGCCTCACTTTTCTGCTTCATCATGAAAATCCAAGTAAATCTCGAATAATCATCAATAATAGACAGAAAATACCTGCTGCCTCCAATGGATTCAACTCGTGAAGGACCCCAACAGTCGGAGTGGAGGTAATCCAGTATCCCCTTTGTCCGGTGGATACCCTTCTTGGGAAACTTGCTGCGATGTAGCTTCCCAAACACACAATGCTCACAGAATTCCAAATTCTGCATCTTGTGCCCGCAAAGAAGATCCCTCTTCGACAGAACTTGCATCCCCCGTTCACTCATATGCCCCAATCTCATGTGCCAGAGAGTGGTCATATCTTCCTGATGAACCTGAGATGATGCAACGGCAGCAGAACCAGACAACACAGACCCTTGTAATGCATACAAGGTCCCACGCTTCACGCCCTTCAGCACCTTCCTTGAACCTTTGCAGACATACACAACTCCACCTTTTCCTTTGAAACTGAAACCCTTGCTGTCGAGTAGACTCAAGGAGATCAGGTTCTTTGTCATTCGTGGAACATGTCTGACATCATTCACGGTACAGAACAAACCATCATGTGTCCGAACCTTTATGGACCCGATTCCAACAACCTTGCAGACAGCTCCATTAGCCATGACCACGTTACCACCATCTATCTGCTCGTAGGTTGTGAAGCAATCCCTGTTCGGAGACATATGGTACGAGGCTGCAGTATCCAGAAACCACACATCACCATGATGTGCCTTCTCATCTACAGCCAAGGCGAGATCGTCTTCAGAACTGTTGTCCACTTCTGCCACGGCAACTGAACCTTGTTTCTTCTGTTGCCCTCTTCTCTTGGGACAGTTGTACTTCCAATGCCCCACTTCCTTACAGTTGTGACAAGCATCACCTGGCTGTGGACCGGGACCCTTGGAATTCTTGTTTGAATTCCCTTTACCAGATTTCTTCTTTCCCTTTCCACCTGTAACAGCCAAACCCGATGCCTCACCACCTGTACCAGATCCGGATGCCTTATGTCTGATCTCTCTCGTATGAATAGCAGACCTGACATCTTCCAACGACACGCTTTCTTTACCAGCAATAAAAGAATCAACGAAATTCTCATATGAACTCGGCAAAGAAACAAGTAGGATTAGGGCAGCATCCTCGTCATCAACTTGAACATCTATATTACGCAGATCCAGCAAAATAGAGTTAAGTTGTTCGAGATGTTCCCTCAAAGGCGTACCTTCTTGCATCCTCAAGCTGAACAACCGTTACTTGAGATGCAGCTTGTTGGTTAGAGACTTAGTCATGTACAGACTCTCTAGTTTCAACCACAAGCCCGCGGCAGTCTTCTCAGCAGCGACTTCAATGATGACGTCATCAGACAACGATAACATGATGGTCGAGTGGGCCTTCTCCTCCAGGGTGTTCCACTCATCGTCATCGATCGCTGTCTTCTTCTGTTTCGCAGACAGCGGCCCCCACAGCCCTTGCTGTTTTAATAAAGCCTGCATCTTGATCTGCCATATAGCGAAGCTGTTCTTCCCCGTGAACTTTTCGATCTTCATGTTCACCGACGTCATTCTTCTGAATCGAAAAAACCTAGCCTGATTTCCAGCCGCGGCTCTGATACCACTTGTTATAAACGCGCTGCTACGGATCGGGAAATAGCCGGAGTCGACAAAGCAAGAATACGAAAGCGAGAATCGAAAACACAGACACACGATTTACGTGGTTCACTAACACGATGTGTGTTAGCTACGTCCACGGGCGAGAGAGAGCCAGTTTCACTATATCGAGGAGATTACAGATTACAGAGGAGTATGAGAAGTATTTATAGTACTTCTCCATGTGGGTCTAAACCTAATCCAATCTGGCAAAGGAAACGGTTACAGACCAGGCCCAGAACCCGAACCCAAATAACAGCGAGACCCCCGATTACCAGTCGTAGCGGCTGATAATCCGATTCAAGTCATATCAACAATGCATATACCATATTCCATCATCTTATATATTCAGTCATTATTATGCTTTCAATGGGATAGATAAGGGAAAGGGTCAAAGGGATGATTGTAATAATGAGTTGCTCCATAACGGAGAGTTTAAATTAAATTAAATCAAATCAAATAAGAATTTATAATTTCAGTATCACGTCAACCATACTCTTCTTTTAATTTGTATCAAAAATAATTTAATGGTAATTTGGC